CCTCTAATTCAAAATTACTGCCTAATATGGCACTAAGTCAGGCAAACCTGCAAAGTTCCAAGTACATTCTTGTTCTGTGCAGAACCTAGGAGTAGGCTATTCACTGTTTAATCCCTTGAGCCTGTTACCCCATGCAGTAAAATCATGGCTGATTAGCAACCTTACTCAATGCTCACTTCTGCCCTATATTGCTGAAGCTATTTTTGGCTGATAAACCCTGTGCTGAATTGTCCGATCTCCCCTGGAAATGTAGTGGCAGCACTACAATTGAATACAAAACTGAGGAGGAAATTATCAGTTGCTTAGATGTGATTTTATTCCCCGTCTTAAATTGAACATTTCTTTTTTGTTTTATTTTTAGTTTTCACCTGGGTGTTTTACAACCAAATATCAATCCTTGTGCAAGATATGTTGACAGCAAAATCTTAACATCTCCTACTGTGACACGATAAAATATGCCACAGCTGGATAAATCAGGAAGGGGGGAATAAAGCAAAAAACGGCAGATGCTAGAAATCAGAAACAAAAGAAATTGCTGGGAAAACTCAACAGGTCTGGCAGCATCTGTGGAGGAAAAATACTCAATGTTTCAGGTCCAGTGACCCTTCAGAGGGTCCTCTTCTCTGAAGAAGGGTTACTGGGCCTGGAATATTGACGCTACTTTTGATCTTGGTCCTCCCAGACTGGGGGAGTGACAAATATATGCCAGGGCTTCAGGTCATTGAAGAGCAAGCAATTTCAGATGAAGTATTGAGGAGGTGGCTATTGAGCTGATTCACCAGCAGGGGTCAGTACTTTCAGAGGTGAAAAGGGGAATGATGTGTCTTAGAAATAGGTATGGCAACATTAGCTTCAAGTAGATAAAAAATACTCTTTGAAAATGGAATTTGGTCCAATTGTTATGAGTTGATGCCCATAGTACTTGCCTTAAAGTGCCTCCTGGCTGTTTCTAATTTGTTTCCTCCTCTTTTTGCAGCAAGGTAAAAAGTGTGTCCGCACTCCAAGGCCAATCAAGTCAATGAAGTTTGAGTTTTCTGGTTGTACCAGCACGAGATCCTATCGACCCAAGTTCTGTGGAGTCTGCACTGATGGGAGATGCTGCACCCCTTACTCCACCAGCACTCTACATGTGGAATTCAAATGTCCAGAGGGAGATCTTATCAAGAAGAAGATGATGTTTATCAAGACCTGTTCCTGTCACTATGACTGTCCCTCTGACAATGACATTTTTATGACAACATATTACAGGAGAATGATTGGTGACTATGCTGCATAAGAGCAAAAGTTTCCCACAGACTACCTGTAACAGCACTGTATAATTGTCTTTAGATTCAATTGATATCTGCAGTGCTTTACAATACTCTTTCTCCACCAAGGAAAGGTGGATTATAAACCAGCTCATATCCATAAATACCTTGTTCTGAACATTATCCCTTTCTGATTAATCAACTGTTTGAAAATGCAGTCTTGCTGAAAGCGAATTTTAAGATTCACCCAATTGCATTGGTCCAAATTGTTTTTGAATTGCTCCCTTCCAGAGCTCTGAAGTGCAGTGATACATTTTGCGTATAGGAGTACAAATTACAGTTAAATGCTGAAAGTTCACTTGATAAACTCTACTATTATTTTAGTTGTAAGGCTATCAATTATTTTCACACAAATAGGTAGCACAGTGGCTCAGTGGTTAGCACTGCTGCCTCACAGCGCCAGGGACCTGGGTTCTGTGTGGAGTTTGCACATTCTCCCTGTGTCTGCGTGGATTTCCTCCGGGTGCTCCGGTTTCCTCCCACAGTCCAAAGATGTGCAGGTTAGGTGGATTGGCCATGCTAAATTGCCCACAGTGTTCAGGGATGCGTAGATTAGGTGGGTTATAGGGGGAGCGGTCTGGGTGGGATGCTGTGAGGGTCGGTGTGGACTTGTTGGGCTGAAGGGCCTGTTTCCACACTATAGGGATTCTATGAAATTGCCTGACCTTAACTGCAATAGAACTACTTGAAAAAGAAGACTTCATACTGATCTGAGTATTGGCATGCTAATGCCCCCAAGCATAGTGCCTAGGTTCATGTAATGAGCCCTAATAATAAATGAACAGCTCAAATGTGAGACCAGGGGATTAGTTCTACAAAGCTATAGATGAGCTGCTGCATTAGGCAATGGAAAATCATTGAGGTGTTCCCCATGATTGTCCATTATGTACAGGCTCATCTCTCTGCTGGTGGTGCACATTCAAAAAATAAAAGAGCACTAACATCAGCGCTGATCACCTCACAGTACAATGCGTTTTATTATATAGAGTAATGCATTAGTGTTCCAGATGGAGCTATAGCTAAAAACTTCTCTTTGAATCTGTTTCCATCCTAATCCTTTTGAATTGTGAACCAGCCCAGACATTATCTGATCAATACTGCCTCATGTGAATTCCAAAATATCAATGCAAGAAAGCATCATTTTAACATTGTCATAATCATGTAACTGATGTAAATATTGTAATACAAGTGTACAGTTTTATATTATAATATATTGTCACTTACTATTTTTGATTGTAGCAGTTTTTATAGAAGATGCTTCTGTAAGGTGGGCAATGAAGTAAATGTTTGTACTTTAGAATAAAAGAATCTATTTTTTATATAAATGGTCTGTATTTATTTTGGATCCTTTTTATTTACAAATGGGTAATAAAGATGTTTGCGGGGTGGGTGGTGTTGGTGTACATGCCAATGACAGTACTTGCTATATATTGAGCCTTCTACCAAACATCAAGTTGAAACACTATTTGCATGGTGACAGAAACAGGAATATGAATTAACTAGATAACGAGAAATAGGGTGGTAACCAATGATTTATAGTCTAATTAAACAGGTGTAATCAGCAGAATTCCACTGGTATTGATTCTGGGATCTGTACTTTGACATAATATCTATTGAAGTCCTCACCAGCAACAACATAAAAAGAATTGTCTCAAGAGGTGCAACTAAATGTTTGAGAGCAGTGCTACAATTCATGCCCATCCAGGTTCTTAAAGGGACAATGTCATATTTCATTCACCAGTCCAGCTAATGAACAATGTAGGATCGTGATTAAGGCTTGCACTGGATTCTTAAGGAGCTGTGTTATAATTCAGAAATCCTTAAAGGAACTGATGGTGATTAAAACTCAGTAGAGATATTTATAGGAACAGCATCACAATTTCCAATCTAGAAGAGCTTGACAATTAAAGCTTGATCCAGCTGCTGAAGAAAAATGTTGCATTTACATGATTGTTTTATGACCAAGGGATGTTACAAATCCAATTTATATTCGTTATGGTAATTGTCAAAATATGGCTGCTAATTTACACACAGCAATGCTTCACACTGAGATAAGCTACTGAGCAGTGTGAACAAGATAAACCAGGAGAAAACCTTCCAATGTGTAAATAGATCAGGACTGACAGCACATAGATTTCAAGTGATTTCAAAAGAAGTAAGCATGAAAAACAAAACCTTTCTAAGAAATGAAAGGTTTGGCTTTGGAGTGCACTGTCTGGAAGTGTGATGGAGGCAGGTTTAGTTAAGGTATTCAAGAGGATATTAAATGATTATTTAAATATAAATAACGCACCAGGTTATGAGGAAAAAGTAGGCCAATTGCACAAAGTCATGTTGCTCATTCAGAGAGATGGTGTGGACATTAATTGGTTAAAGGCTGCCTCCTGTACTGTGACAACTTTGTGATAGTGCAGAAACTGCCAAATGTTGTGTTTGTATTTGGTGCAAAACATACAATTTTTACATGGAATATTCTTTAATCTGAATGGATATTGGTTCCACTGTTCAATTAACGGGAGCTATGTTTAGATGGGCTTAATAGGTAATTAAAACCTTTAAATATGTTAAAGAGGGACCGAACAGCTAACTAATGTGTGATGGCTACAAAATTTGTTGCTGATGAGCAGAAACCATTTCCACTTTGCACCAATGCAGAGCTTGCATAACAATCTAGGCTCAGGGTCCAACTGACTGCAAAAAGCCATGTGAGATTCCCTGCAGTATAGTGTCTGATAAAGTATGGAGTGTACATTACCCTGAGTACTCAGGAAGGTGCTTAACCCTGCCAATCTTGATTTAAGCAGATTTAAACAATTTAGAGGGCGAAGAATTTACATGTCGCACTGTTGGAGGAATGTTGGCTTTGGCTTGATGAGATAAGTGGCCTCCTTCTGTGTTACATCATTCCATGAGAGCTGTGCTTATGTTTTATTCACAAAAGCATGGAGTTCTCTTACAGCTAGAGAGGGTGCAAACGTTGTAAATACAGGACAGCCTGATGGTGCCTGAATTTTGTACAGCATAAGTATGCTACACAAAGCATTGATGGAGTTATGTCTCAGTTCAGATTTGCCCACCAGATTTATGTTAAGTACACAGTTATATGAACAAAGTATCCCAGACACTTGTGGTGATTAGTTAACTTAATGGAAATTTAGATTTCTGCTTAATTAAAAAAAACACACACACAATTTGTCAAAGCTGTTTATCCTGGACTCGTCATTTTGCAAGTTTCCCAGCTCAAAGGGTAAGCCAACATTTATATTGCATGAGCGGAAACAAAACTGTTAACTGTCAATCAGCATTAATGGACATATTCTCCATGGCTACACCCGTACCAATCAGAGTCCACTTGCCAATAAATCAGCACTCTCTTCCTATGTTATATAAATGGTGGTTTCCCCCCTGAATTTATATCCTTAGCAAAATGTACTGAGCATGATGCAAAGCTTCAATAAAATGTCTCTTTTCAACAATAAAGTTCTGTATTACTAAATGGTTATTTCTATTTAACAAGGATCGAAGAGATAAACTGGGTGAGAATAGCCCTAATTGACTAATGTCTGCTGTGCATAAGTAACTGGAACTTAGGGGCAGAGTGTTAGCGGAGGCAAGATCTGTGGAGAAGCAATGAAAGCACAACAAGGTAAGTGTAAATCGCTTGCCCTAATTTTGCAAATACACACACTGCAATTTCAAAATATCAGTTTATTATTTGTTCAAGTTTAACACTTCCAGAAAATGTCAGCACAACTCATGTATGGTTTTGTTCCCAACTTCTCCTCACTAGAGGTGCTAATTCCTGTTGGGCGGAGATGAGATGGGTACTGCCAGTTCAAGATTTGAACCTGGGATCTTCAGGACTGTACTGACATAGTAACACACTGAAGAGTGCCTTCACTCATGACAGTGGTTATTTCAAACCATATGAAATAGGACCAGGAGTAGGCAATTCGGCCCCTCAAGGCTGCTTTGCTATTCAATAGGATCATGGCTGATTCGACATTCCTCATGTCAACTTCCCTGCTCTTTCCCCTTAAACCCCGGATTCCCCAACTGATCAAGAATCTTTCTATCTCAACCTTAAATATACTCAAGGATTCTGGCCCCACAGCTCTCTGACCAAGGAGCTCCAAAGAGAAACTCTCTAAAAGAAGAAATTCCTCTTAAATCCCAGTCATAAATTGGCACCCCTTTATTCTGTGACTATGCTCTCTGATCCTAGACTTTTCCCATGAGGGGAAAAAAATCCTCTCAGCATTAGGACATTATTAATGTTAACATTTTTGTGTGTGTATATATAAAATCTATCTAAAAATCTTCCATATATGTATAAATCCTTTCAACATATCATCATATAAATTTCAAAGGCTGCATTTACGATGTAACCCGGGATGAGAAACTTCAGTTAATTGGGGAGAAGAGATAGGCTGGGGTTGTTTTCTTTACAGCAGAGAAAGTTAAGGGTTGGTTTAGTAGAGGTGTTCAAAATTAAGAGGGATATTGTTTCAGTAAATAAGGAGAAACTTTTTTGTGTGGTACTAAGTCAGTAACCTAAGGACATGGGCATATAGAACTGACAAAAAAAACCAGCAAATCTTGATCTACAATTTTTCTGGTTGCTAAGGGTTTGGGGCAGATGGTGGTGTGGTGATAACATCACTAGGCTAATAATCCAGGGGCTAAGGCTAACATTCTGGGGACATGGGTTTCAATTTTACCCTGGCAGTTGGTGGAATTTAATTTCAATCAATAAACTTGGAATATGAAGCTAAACTTATTGATGGTAAGTATAAAACCACTGTCAATTTTCATAAAGATATAATTAATTCATTATATCCTTTAGGGAGGAAGATCTGCTGTTCTCACCCAGCCTGGGTTACATGTGACTCTAGACACACAGTAATTTGGTGGATTCTTAACTGTGCTCTGAAATGGCCTAGCAAGCCATTCAAGGGCAATTAGGGATGGATAACAAATGTTGCTCTTGTTAATCATAGTCTCATCCCATGCAAGAATAAAGACAATAAATAAATGAATAATTGCCACAAGCTGCCATACAGGTCTCCATTACAATCACAGTTTACCATTTTGAGAGTGGCATCTTAGTGATCAGCTGTTTATTCATTTCGAAACTCTGGAATTTAAAAGCATCTTTTGTTACTGACAGGTGCAACTAAAGGTTTTGATTTTTAGAAGAAAATTGATAAATATAATAGATAGTGAAGGTTATGTGGTTTTATGTTCATATTTTGTGTTTTGAGAGAACTGAAAATGAGAAATGTGTTCCTAACTGATGCAGAACAGTTACAGACTCTCTGTGGTTATTTAATCCCTATTCTAGAAATGAATGATAGTGAGAGGTGGAGATCACTGTACCTCCTATAGGAAGTGATAACAGCTTCTGACATGTCTTTGTGCCTATATAGTCTTTTTTTTACATTTACCCTTCCTCCCTTCGTGGTTCCCTCAATGCAGTAAATCACAGTAAAGCAACATTTCTCCTGGCAAGAGAAAAGCCAAATATTGTAGAGAATGGAAATTGGAAATAAAATCAGAAAATGATGGAAGTATTCAGCATCCCAGGCAGCATCTGTGGAGAGAGAAACAGAGTTATTGTTTCAAGTCTGATATGACTATTCTTCAGAACTTAAAAGGGTTTGAAAATTTATACTTTACACAGAAGCAGAGGAGAAGCGAGTGAAACCAATAGTGCAGAGGCCCAGTTCAAAAGACAAAGGAATTTCTAATTGGGGTAAAAGAGAAAATGTAAAATGGGTGTAAATTAAGGTATGAAATGGAGAAATGGGTCCTCTCTGTTGAGACCAAAGTAAACGAGACACTTAGAAGACAAGATGTTGGGGTTGTGACACTCGATTTTAATACTATTGTAAAAGGGTGACAAACCACATTGCTTACATTAAACTAGAAAGGCATGTAAAAGAAGGTTTGTTTGTGTTTTTTAGTGTATATGCCTTGTTAGGCTGGTGTAATTAATAATGTTTACTACTTACTTGTATCAACTTCTACCTTTTATTTCATTGCTCATTTCTTGAGTGTTTATAGCTGTTCCTCCTCTTCACATACAATTTCTGTACAAAGTTGTGGCTTTCCCATCAAAAAAGTGTACCCATCTCCGATTTAGTTGAATGTTGGAATGGTCTCAAGTGGCTGACTGGCCTCCTTCTGTTCCTATGCTTTTTTGGCTCTCTTCAGTGCAAAAAAAAATTAAATATTTGATCCTTTCCCTTTTATATAGCACTGTATGGGTGCACTGCTTTTTGAATAAAGGTCCTTTTTTATGTAAGTTTTACTATCATGTAATTTTTTTCATTCATTCATGGGATGAGGGTGTTGCTGACTAGGCCAGCATTTATTACCCAGTCCTAAGTTAAGAGTCAACCACATTGCTGTGGGTCTGGAGTCACATGTAGGCCAGAATGGCAGTTCCCTTCCCTAAAGGGCATTAATAAACCAGACGGGTTTTTCCCCGACAATCAATTCATGGTCATCATTACACTCTTAATTCCAGATATTTGTTGAACTCAAATTCCACCATCTGCTGTGGTAGGATTGGAGCCAAGGTACCCAGAACATTTCCTGGATCCCTGGATTAATAGTCTAGCAATAATACCAGTACACCATTGCCTCCCCAGCAGAAAATAATCATCCTTTCTCCTATTGCAGGGATGTATTTGCATCTGAAGTCTGGTGTTACTGATGTACCCTTGGCTCAATAGCAGTGCCTATTCCCTCTAGAATCTGAAGGCTTCCAGTCCGCTCTACGACCGTAATTACAAAATCGGAATGACACTCCAGGGCAATGCTGAAGGAAAGTTCCACTTTCAGAGGTGCCATTCTTTGGATGAAAAACTAAGTCAATGCCCTGACTGCCCTGTCAGATGGACATAGGTCCTACAGCACTGTTTTAAAGAACCTTTCCATGGTTCCCTGGCCAATGGTTATACCTTATCCAGCATCATTGAAGCAGATTATTTGGTCATTATCTTGTGTCTATAGGAACTTGCTGTGCACAAATTGGCTGTCACATATACTTTGCAGCAGTGATTATACTTCCAAAGTACATAATTGGCTGCACAATGCTCAAGTTATCTCTGAGATTATGGTAGGAATTAATTAATGTGAGTTATTATCTTAAATTTTCCCAGTTTCCTTCTCGCCAGGTTATATTTGTCGCTGCTTTACAAATAGTGTTTCATTAGATGCTGGGAGAAACCAATCAAAATATATTTGTGATGCCTCCACAGGTGAACAGCCAGGTGATAGTCTAGACTCCTATACAAAAACAACCAGTCAAGCAAAATACTGATAATATCATTGTATTGCCTGCATCTTCAGATGTAAAGAGGTATAAACAGAAAAACCCAAAAGAGATTTTTAAATGGTCTTTTGGACAATGTTGACATTGTATTTGTCCTAGGACAATATTTGTCCACCTTCGACTGTTCAGTTACATCAAAGCTGGCTCAAGCATAACCCTCACCAAAATGTGGATACGGCAGCACAGTGGCTCAGTGGTTAGCACTGCTGCCTCACAGCACCAGGGACCCGGGTTTGACTCCACCCTCAGGCGACTGTCTGTGTGGAGTTTGCACGTTGTCCCCATGTCTGTGTGGGTTTCCTCCAGGTGCTCTGATTTCCTCCCACAGTCCAAAGATATGCAGGTTAGGTGGATCGGCCATGGTAAATGGCCCGTAGTGTTCAGGGATTGTAGATTAGGGGGATGTGGCTGGGTGGGATGCTCCAAGGGTCAGTGTGGACTTGTTGGGCCAAAGGGCCTGTTTCAACACTGTAGGGATTCTATGATGATGACATATTCATCTCTAACAGTTCTAACCTTTAAATGATCCCATGGTTCCACACTGAATTGGTGGCAAAGGAGTGCTATTCACTGTTTTATGATATATGATTCCGAATGGATTGAAAGTTGGGAGCTGTGCCCATTTTCCATTGTCCCATTGATTTATAATACTATCTGTTCAGTGGTCTTGGAATGGGCTCAGATGGGCTGAGGAAGCAGCCAGAGGCTGTCAGAGGAAGTCAAGGATAAATGGAAGACCCTAAGTCGACAATATTACTTTCAGCCCTTACTCACATATGTGTATACAATAACAAATGAATGTTTATCTCACCAACAAAGTTTACCCAGTAGATGGCAGCCTAAACAAGCCTGTGATAAACTCACTAACTGGTACAGGGAGGAGTGGGTGTTGAGAGTGTGTCACTGAAGAAACATGAGCAACCTGCAAAACTGCTGCTAGGAAGGTTAAATGATGTGGCTGTGGATTGGGCAAATGTTTTTATGACCATTTTTAAACAGGCTGTAAATATTTTGAAAAGATACATTTTTTTTTCCCTGAAAAGCTGTTTGAGTTCGGCCAGTCTGTTCTAGCCTGGAGAATGACACAATGAAGCTGAAGGTAGGCCACAGCCATAGAGATGGACTAGGGCAGTGCCTCACCACCTCATCACTCTCAATGGAGTGGCCATCAAGGTGAAGTTGCCACTTGAAGGCACTCTCTCCAGCACACCTGAGCTGGAGGCGGAAGTGGAGTGCTGTGTGAGGAGATCATTACAACATCATCAGTTACAGAAGTAGGCCATTCAGCCCCTTGAGTCTCATCTGCCATTTGATAAGATGCTTGTGACCATACACTTCCTCCCCCTAGGATATGGGATTTACAGCTATGTGCTAGAAACTACAGTGCATCATCTGTGATGTCAGATGATACCAGGTCACATAGACCTGAGTGAAAAAGGACTTGATGAAGTCCTGCTGAATCAGGTTCTGTAAGTAATGTAAATAAATGTTCATTAGTGTACATCAATATGGTACCTACTCCCCAGCACTCAAAAGCAGCCAGAATCTGGTTCTAATAACAAGGTGTAGAGCTGGGTGAACACAGCAGGCCAGGCAGCATCAGAGGAGCAGGAAAGCTAATGTTTTGGGTCTGGACCCTTCTTCAGAAAT